GGTTTGAAAGTTAGGTGCCCAAGATTTGAGGCTACTATTTTACATTCCCTGCAAAATATCATCTGGGACACATTGTAACCTCACTTTGTAACCTCACAGCCTCATTTTTTTTTGGCGAAAAATTCATTTTTCTTTTGTTGCTATTTGAAATAAACATTCAATTATGACTTAGACAATTAGGCTACGAGGCTTACAAAAGTCACTATAACTGTGACCCAGAACACAATCATTGTATTTGCGATGCACAGGCCTATGCAACTGGCAGCAAAACTAAGTTATCCCACAATCAGATCTGGTCCATAACCCATTTTATAAAGAAAAAAAGTTATGTGCCCTGGTTTTGTCCTAGTTTAGGCCTGGTGTTAAAGTTGACGAAAGCTTCTACATTTAAAGATTTACACAAAAGTGCTGACTTTGTGTTAACACTCACAGTTTTAAGAGTGATTCTTGCATGTTTGAGTCACTTATCAAACCACATGACATATTCTGCTTTTCCACAATAACGGTACGGTACGGCACGGCACAGAGCGGGTATTTTGCATTTCCACTAGGGTAGGGATAGGGGTGGGCGATATGGCCTAAAATTCATATTGCGGTATAATTTGGGACACAGACGGTAGACGATACATATTGCGGTATAATTTGGTGTGTGAATTTCAATATAGGTCTAGCAGGTTCTTGCATAAAATAGTCAAGATTGTTACTTATTTATATATTAGAATCTAATATATATATTTTTTGAGTTATTCAGTTGTGAGACGAATAAAGAGACCAATGTTGTAACATACATTATTTATGTATGTTACAGTAAATACCATTCACTGTAAAAGCAATTTTTAAAAAGAAAAACATATGCATTCATTTAAAATATAAAAAACTCACAAAACCTGTAGCAGTTAGACATGGTCATTATTTATAGTGTCTGAGAGTTTTGTGCAGGTACATGACTTCAGTAAAAGCTATTGTTCGTTTACAAAGCTGGCCTTGCCATTTGTTGACGCTCCCTAAGCGCTTTTCTCTGCACTTGCAGTGAACTGGATGATTCAATGGATTTATCTGCATTAAAACAGCGCATTGGATTTGAACAATTGATGTAAATGATCATTTTGGCACAATACATTTTGTTTAACAAAGTAGCTTTCGTGAGATATTGACCGCGGAGGTCCAAATCTGACGCTAACTTTCCCAAACTTCTGATGTGATGATGCTGCGGACACGGCACACGCATGGATCTATTTTGGCTCACACTGGCGGTTAGAGCCTACGCCCCTTTGACACTGATTGGCCAAAAGGTAGACGCTTAAACTGTGATTACTGTGTGTGTATTTACCTCTGCTGGGGCCGCTGTGATAACAATACATAGACAGAAACACGGTGTTAATGCCGTGCTGTTGTTCGTTGTTTCCAGTGGTGTCTGCTAGGCTAATAGTGCTAGGCTAATAGTGCTAGGCTAATGTGCAAGGCTAATGTGCTAGGCTAACGCTGCTAGGCTAATAGTGCTAGGCTAATGCTGCTGAATGCCGGTTTGTTTTGGTCCTTTCTGCTGGCGTCAGAGCCTGCGCAATTTGATGACATAATGACCTATTGCAATATGCCGGTATAACAAAAATCTCTACCGTGGGCCAAATTTATATCGCATACTGCTTATACCGTTTATATCGCCCAGCCCTAGGTTGGGATAAAGGTACTTTTGTCATACTACCACCGTGTTGCCATTCTGTTTTGTGCTTGTAATTAAAGAGCGACTAAACACCTGTGACCAGCCTTACTCCGCCCACATGAACATTTGAAAATGTTCTCGTAAAAAGGGCGTTGCCTGGAGGACCAGGGGACATGAAGGGGCGCTTAGAGTTGGGCGTGGTCTGGGCTGTGATTGACAGCTTGCTTGTCACACGAAAAAAAAAAACCAGACAGTTGTCATTGCTGCTTTAAGCAATAGTTTACACCAGAAAGTCTCATTCCACCCTATTTTACACAGTAAGATAATTGTTGAGCTACACACTTGAACCTAGCCTGGCCTTAGCCATCCGTACACTCCGTTCAATCATAATTTCACTGCATGTAACGTCTGGGTCTAGTCCCTATGTTAGCGATTACAATCTGTTGAATTTCGACCGACCATTCAGAGAGTTAGTTGTGGGTGATGTTAAGAGTTTGCGTTGAACAGGCAGGTTGTAGTTTGGTAATAGCAAAAAATGCGATAGTAAAGTAATCCGGTCTGGTTCTATCAGGAAATTAAAGCCGGAGCAAGGGTAATGTTTAGCAAATGTAATCGCTGGAAAGAATTGTGGCGCTACTACCCATGGGCTCCGTTAGCGGCAAAGGAGATGGCTAGGCTAAATGCTAAATGCTAACAACAGACTCGGGCGCACTACATACGTCACGGTAAACTCAGATCCAATCGTTTCAATCTGCAAAAGGAGTTAACCCCTCCCACCTGTTAACGGAGCTCAATGGAGCACCTCCAGACCTTAGTACGAAATGTCATTTGTACTATGGTGTGGTACGACCAGGCTAACTTGAACCTAAGCCACAGAATTATCTCAGCAGCAGTGGTTGTAAACTCATGCAATTTAAATGTAATCCACAAGATGTCGCCAGAGTACGCCAACCTGCTGCTGAGGCGTGGGTGAGATTTGAATGGGTTTACATCACTGGCGCAGACAGACGCACGTCACACATACCAACCGACGTTACAGAGTCAATGGAGAGGCAAGGACCAAATTCAACATATTTGTACAGTTTATGAGTTTAAAAAAGTTGATTTGGTGTTTAGCCGCTCTTTAATTTGCCATGTGTATATTTATTTGTTTGAGAATCTTTTCCCACAAGTGAGGATATTACCAACGAGCAATGAGTGACCGGAGTACTGGACCTGGTCTCAGAGACATACGTACTTTGGACTTTGTAAATTGTTGGTTTTGCACTTTACTTTTGTTTTTAATAATTCTGTAATTGTATCAAGACTTTGTTTCATTCATTTGTTCGTACACATGCAGACAAATGGGTTCAAAAGCAAAAGTTACGATACTACCATATACTTTTACCTTTATTTACGTTACATACATTATATTTGTCAGTAAATCCATCCATTTTTTTCCCCTTAATCCATTTTGGTAAAACCAAAGGCAAAATATATGTTTAGGCATATGACAAAGTTACGCATCAGACCCTCCTCTGCACAACTGTTACACAGGCTGCTGTTGCTACATGTGTGTCCCATTCTGTCACATGGTCTCTCCATGGTATTCACACAGATTGTGCAGAGCACAGTAAGTCAGCACCATTGACTTCACATGTTCAGTGTCCGAGTCATTCCTTTAGGACTGCCAAAGCACTCGTGCTATGCTGAATTTTCTATTAAATACAGTGCCTTGCGAAAGTATTCGGCCCCCTTGAACCTTTCAACATTTCGCCATATTTCAGGCTTCAAACATAAAGATATAAAATTTAATTTTTTTGTCATGAATCAACAACAAGTAGGACACAATCGTGAAGTGGAATGAAAATTTGTTGGATAATTAAGACTTTTTTAACAAATAAAAAACTGAAAAGTGGGGCGTGCAATATTATTCGGCCCCTTTACTTTCAGTGCAGCAAAGTCACTCCAGAAGTTCAGTGAGGATCTTTGAATGATCCAATGTTGTCCTAAATGACTGATGATGATAAATAGAATGCACCTGTGTGTGATCAAGTCTCCGTATAAATGCACCTGCTCTTTGATGTCTCAGGGTTCTGTTTAAAGCGCAGAGAGAACGCTTTAAACAGAACCCTGTTTAAACAGAGGTGGGGATGAGCTGTGTTGCTTTTACACCAAACATATCGTTTTGCATTGTGGCCAAAAAGTTTGACTTTGGATTCATCTGACCAGAGCACCTTCTTCCACATGTTTGGTGTGTCTCCCAGGTGGCTTGTGGCAAACTTTAAACAAGACTTTTTATGGATATCTTTGAGAAATGGCTTTCTTCTTGCCACTCTTACATAAAGGCCAGATTTGTGCAGTGCACGACTGATTGTTGTCCTATGGACAGACTCTCCCACCTCAGCTGTAGTTATCTGCAGTTCATCCAGAGTGATCATGGGCCTCTTGGCTGCATCTCTGATCAGTCTTCTCCTTGTTTGAGATGAAAGTTTGGAGGGACGGCCGGGTCTTGGAAGATATGCAGCGGTCTGATACTCCTTCCATTTTAATATAATTGCTTGCACAATGCTCCTTGAGATGTTTAAAGCTTGGGAAATCTTTTTGTATCCAAATCCGGCTTTAAACTTCTCCACAACAGTATCTCGGACCTGCCTGGTGTGTTCCTTTGTCTTCATGGTTCTCTGAGCTTTAAACAGAACCCTGAGACTATCAAAGAGCAGGTGCATTTATACGGAGACATGATTACACACAGGGGCATTCTATTTATCATCATCAGTCATTTAGGACAACATTGGATCATTCAAAGATCCTCACTGAACTTCTGGAGTGAGTTTGCTGCACTGAAAGTAAAATATTGCACGCCCCACTTTTCAGTTTTTTATTTGTTAAAAAAGTTTAAATTATCCAATAAATTTCGTTCCACTTCACGATTGTGTCCCACTTGTTGTTGATTCATGACAAAAAAATTTAATTTTATATCTTCATGTTTGAAGACTGAAATGTGGCAAAATGTTGAAAGGTTCAAGGGGGCCGAATACTTTCGCAAGGTACTGTACTTGCTGTTAGTCTGTCACTCGGTGTCCTGAAAAGGTTTTAGGTGCCAGTTCTGCAGGTTGTAAGCAGAGTCCCCTAAGAGGTAATAACCAGCTATCACCGATATTATAATAAATCCATGCACCGCACCAATGTTACTGGTTACACGTCACATGTAAATGGCTTGGTCTGACAACCCCTCCCACGCTGAAGAGGTACATTATTCATGGAAAAAGCACCTGTGCGCGGCCGTGCCGCGGCGTGCTGTGCCATACCCTGTCGTACAGTAACTATGGAAAAGCGGCATTAGAGATCTGGTCCCTACCTGCTGCTTGAGCTGCAGCACCAAGCTGTCCTTCTCCCTCTTCAGAGCAGACACCTCCTCCTGGGTCTTCTTCTTCTTCGACGAGGACAGCTCCAGCAGGGCGATGTTGGCGTCCTTCTCACTGATGGCAGCCAACAGTGCCTCCTGCCTGCACAGATGGGAATCACAAGTTAAAGACTGATATCGGGTCGCAAAGCGGCAGCTAGAAAGCAAGCTCCCGCCAAAACAAAATTTGTGTAGGCGTTATTGCAGTTTTTAAAAGAAAACAAGAGTGACAAGAGTGAAGCGGACTGTTTATTGTGTAAGGCAAAACCGTCGTGAGGTGGGTCCAAAACAAAGCACGTATAGCACCAGTAACTTGATCAAACATCTGAAAATTCACAACCACGCGGAGTACTACATCTTTGCTAGCACTGGAGCTACCATTTGTATGAGTGGAATATGACAGTGGCTCTTATTGGTTTCCACCGTCTGTGAACGCACCCCGACTCTGTGTTGCGGTGCGGCGCTGTGAGCTGGTGCTTTTCACATGTGCCCGACTCGTGATGAAAACACAGGGTGAGTTAGCGACAAAGTTTACACCGTTTACATTTGACATAAAGTATAGACACACACACTACAGCGCATTACTGTCTTTAGTTTATGAGCAGAGATGGAGCAACTCCGTTTTGCTCCCATTGAAAACCATGTAAATCTTGTCTGTTTTGTAGTCAAAAGGCTCTCCTCCTGTGGGTGTACAGGATATATATATATATATATATATATATATATATATATATATATATATATATATATATATATATATATTATATATATATATATATATATATATATATATGTACTGTTGTACGTATACATTTATATTATAGATCGTAGTGTGAAAAAAAGTATTTGACTATTTCACAAAAAAAGTAAAATGAACTGAACTTTGAACTAGTTCAGAATTAAAATTGTGAACTTTGAACGTGAACTGTTAACTTTGAGCATGTATGAACTGAACTTGAACTAGTTCAGAAAAGTTGTGAACTGGTACAACACTGGACCTAGAGCTATACAAGAATAAATTATATTGTATTGTATTGTATTGTATTAACACAGACTGAATTCTTAAAGAGTTGATTTGTGACACCTCACTCCATTGACAAAAACAAGCAAACAATAGGCAATATTAGTAGTAGTTTTGACCCATCCTGATGCCGCAAAGGCTTACGTCAGTTGTCGTGGTTGTTGTAGTACAGTGCCCGGGAACCCATCTACAGATGTTGATGCTCGGCTTGGTCAGGACTACCGGAGCTGGAGGATTTAGCCCATGTTTTTAGTGGTGTGATTCAGCCTGAATCACATCTATCAGGCTGGATCTGTATTGTGTGCGCAGGGTAGAGGTTTATGTGTGCCGAGACCCCAAAAAAGGTTCGCAATTCCGAACGTCCACAGCTTAAATTGCTATTTCTAAACTGATTTACAAATTTCCCAAAAATTACATTTCCAGCGTCAAAAAGATGAAAATCCACCGATTGGCGCAACATTCTCATCCCTGTTGGTGCCCCTCGTAGTATCCAGTTTAACCTTCCACACCTACAGTACATTGCAACAGGCTGTAAAACATTTCAAACTTTTTTTTTAATTAGTCATCTAAATTACTGCTATAGCTCGAAACAATGTTTTTGCTCTGTGAGAAGGACCTTGTGATATTTAGCCTGGTGTTAGTCAAGCTTACTGTAGCAGAGACGTAGTTTATGATTGTCCACAGATGTTTATTGGGCTGAATGTATGTCATCTGCGTCTGCACATATGAACTAACCGTATGAAATTAACCCAATAACGTATGTCGCATGATCTACAAACAAACTTCAAGCTTCCACCTGTCCAGCAGTGCCTCGTCTTGCAGCCTCTCTCTGTTCTGTGAAATCCATTTCAGACCAAGTTTCTATGCTGTTGGAAATGATTTAAGCGCACACAGCAGCATGGGGATTTATTCAAATAATCAGACTATGGTCAATTCTTGGTACAGCTCTACTTAACTCGACACAAAACATCAAGCAAATTTTACAGACCAAGCAGGTTTTAATGAAAGTACAAAGTTGACAGTGTCTTCCCACATCACACACCGCTCATGGAACGCTGGCCTTGTTAAAGCTCACAGTGTGTCAACTTTTATACCATATCTGAACCCACAGCACTTAAAAATAAAGTTATGAGCTATTTGTTCCATATGTTTTCAGGGTAATATATACCATAAAAACAAATCAATATTGATACTTTAGTTATACATATAATCAATATTAGTGCATTGGATAAAATGGCATCAACAATATGTGTTGACCATTTCTGGTCAATGGTGTTCTCCCTGGGCATTAAAGTGTCCATTTTTTTTTAGAATTGTTAGAGGTTTGCTGAACATACTACTACTGCATTCTTTGTTTGGTTTATGATCTTTATGCCTTTACTATTTACTTTGCATCTTGGATTAGGTTGGTGATGTTAATCTAATTAGTATGCTTAACATCCATATCATGCTTATGTTAAATAAACAGCTTGAATATTGTCACATTTAGCATATGGGTGTTGGAAAGTCACCTATCCTTCTGTGTGGATGAAAGCACATCTCTTTACAGGCTCACAAATCTTTCCTTTTTTCGCCTTTTGCCAAGTTAGAAACATACATCCAAGTGACTGTCAACTGCTGCGCCAAAAATAAGCACTATTTTGATGTCACATTGTTGGTATGCAGTTAATTCATAAGTAGTTTTAGATAATATTTGAGCCAAGAACTACTTCAAAGTCTGATTGAAAAGAAATGAAATATACCAGCATTATGCTTTACAGTTGACTTTTTTAAGCTTTCTGAAATGGAGCGTTCTCTGGTGAGAAAAATTATTGTAGTGAACTTTTAATCTCGATCACAATGATCTAAAACATTTAAATGAAAGTGACGATTCCGACTGTCTGCTGTCCTTGTGTCCTAGGGGCAAGAAACTTAACCCCACTTTGCCTGAAGCCCCCGCTGAAAGATCAAGACAGCTCAGACTAGTGCAGCCAGCCTCCTGTGGACTCGCCACCTGCAGGAGGATCAGTGAGGGGCTTGTTCTGCTGCCCCCCGACCCAGAAATGGATTAAGGGGAAGAAGATGGATGGATGACGAGTCCATACGTCTGTGCACTGTATTGAAAAAAATAACATGAAACACATGAACGAGAAGGAAAGCCATTATATAATGGTTAAAGCTGAAGTACCTAACAACAAAATCTCATCAAATTTGTTACTAGTAGATCCCCGCTTTCAAAATGGGTTGGTTCCATCTCGAGTTTTCACACGTATTTTTGGCCTTGGTCATAATTATAGATGATAAGTGAAAAAAGAGGACTCACCCTCACTCAGCCAATCATTTCTCAGTATATAAAATATCAATGCTTAGTAATAATATGATGACAACATGCAGTGGTCTGGTGTTCCTTAAACAAGGCTCTTTCTGTTGGGACAAACAACATGCATTTAAGGAACCAAAAACAGTTTAAAAAAATTAGTCGGACATCAGTTGAAGTCAGAAATTCACAAAACTACAGAAAGGTACAATCTTACTGTGGTCTCTGCCCCTCACCCTGGGCCTATCTTTACAAGATGATGTTCGGCTTGGTCAGGATTGTTGTTGGACAATTTTACCTTCACCAACTTTTTCTCCAATAGACTAATAATAACCTGCTAGCATCATGAAGCCCAATAGGGAAGTGCTCATGACAACGTTTTTCTATAACTCTCTCTGGCTCCTGTTGACTTGCATTGAAAGTAAACTCCTCAAGCTTCGTAACCATTTGTGTCACACTCACCACTTTGGACCAAATTTTCATATGTGTGGCCCCACATTCCCCCTCAAGAGCCTGTTCAATCTCGCTCTAGTAGTGTGTGGATGGATAGGGAAGTCTGGGCGTCTCGGCTTGGACGGCTTCCCTTTGCGACCCAGCAATGGATGAAGTGGAAGGAGAAAAGAACGCATGAATCGGTTGGTTTAAGACCTGACAGCGCAACAAAGGATTTAGGTCTCTGTCCCTGGCCACAGGTTAAGGATTTGTCATCAAAAAGTATTTTGATTTTAAAACGACAGTGGCAGGGGAATGCCAGAAGATGCTGATGTGCTGATCAGTGTGGATGGATAGAGGCAAAGAACTTCAGGAATGTTTTGAGGGACCAATGTTGAAATATGGCCCCCCCAAAAAATAAGATTATGCATGACATGTGTGTGTCCTTTAATGGAGAAGAAGAGAAAGCATATCCTGATGGAGACAACGGTTTGATAAGAACATAAGTGCAAGAAAGCATAAGAGGCAGTGCACCTGAGACCTGAGCTTCCCTATCTTCACAAAGGCTCAGATCTCAGGGCATGTCTTTATCGTCCTAACCCTGGTCCTCTGTCCCTGAAGTGTGCTCCAGAGGCTGCAAAAGAGTGGGTGTGCAATGCGTAACTGTGCATGCATGTTCACAACTTGTCTGTGTGTCCTTCAGAGAGGTTTAGTGTTTTGTGGAAGAAGTGCGGGAGCTTATGAGGGCTTTTCACTTCAGGCTCCTGTAGTGTTGGTGAAATGCAGCACTTCCAAAGATTGACTAGCCAGCCGCCCATCCTTTCTGTCAAAAGTCTGGACAGATGCTCGCATGCAATCATTTCTCGATGATTTACCTATCGCTCCAATTAAACACAAGCTGGTACACAAGGTGTTGAGTACTTTGCCACAACAATGAAGATGTCATGCTCAGAATGCGCCATAGGCAACGTCCTTCCAGGTCATAAACAAAATGCTCAAATGGAAGTCATTACCTTGTCTCTTCCTTCTCTTCGTTTCAATCTCTTCCTTATAAATTGAAGCTTCTTCATTTGTTTATTCGCAGACCTGCCTTTGTTGATTTCTTTTTTTTTTTTTACCAAAAAGGGGCAAAAAAAAAGCTTTGACCAGAGGAGTGAAAAATGACACTCCTTCTCCACCGACTCCCACAGATGTCTGCTGTCTTTTGTCCTTGGGCAAGACACTTTACCCACTTTGCCTATAAGGAGCGCGGAAGTCATGTTCGCTGCTTGCCTTGATGTGTAAGTATGCATCAAACTGAAATTTTCCCATTGTGGGACAAATGAAGGACCTTCTTCTTTCTTCTTCTTAAAGC